TGAGAGGTTTTTTTAATTATGCGTTTGAAAAAAGAATGGTCTAAAAAAACGGTCAATAATTTTGAGCGTTGTAATAATTGAAAATCAAAGAGAAGAAATTGACAAAATAACTGAAGGTAAAGAGGAAAAAATCGTAAAATTAACTCAACAAGAAGAGGCTAATCGCCAACAACTTCAACAATTTAAGAAAGAAGAAAACAATTCATTAATATCTAAAATAAGCGAGTTGCAAGGAAAATTAGAAGCCAAGGAAGAAGAAGTCGGATATTGAAGAAAAAATTTTGCCAGTTCCACTATCAATTATGAGAAACAGTTAAATAAAACTTTACCAAACAGTTCAATCTTAAAGAAAGAGTCGACGTTGGTTCAAGAAATCCTCAACAACTCTAAAGATTTTTTAGGAGCTAGGAGAATTTTCCTCAATACCCGACAAATAACCGTTAAAGGACTAAAAAACTGTTATAACAAACTAAGAGGCGACAAAAAATATGATAAAACAGATGAAGTTGGTAATATAATTAGTGCGGTGGGTGGGGTTGCTAATTCTCTAACTTTTGGAGTTTCCAAGGCTCTTGGAGAAGCAATTATAACAATAAATGATTCCTTTAAAAGAAAATTTTCTAATAAGCAAGTTGAAGAATTTAAAGAATTGCTGAACAATGACAAAGAGAGTTTGCTTCAACTTAATAAGTTTGCAGTTAGTAACTCCCGAGAATTGAAATTGTTTAATGCTAAGCATAAAATTTTTGAAGTAATCATTAAGGAAGGTGTTTGAGAAGATGGACCTTTAACCGCTGAGAAAATGGAAAAAGTAATTATAGTGCTTAGTGAAAACTTAGAAGAGTTAAAATCAGAATTAGAAGAGGAGGAAAGACAATTTGAAGAATTTGAAAGGTTAGTTTCAAAATAATAAATTAATTATAACGGGATAAGACATTATTCATCACTTTTGTTTTCCTTTATTCCTTAATCATTAATTTGAGACTTTGAATAGAGACTATTTTTTTAGTTTTCGCTTCGTGAAGTTTCTTTTCAAAATTGCTTTTGCTTATACAAGTTGAAACATTAAATCAATTTTTTGTAGAACAAGAATAATATTCTATTTTAAAATTACTTAATAGAAATGACCCAAGAACAAGGCAAATTAATCCAATCTTTCTAAACCAAAATCCGCGAACTGGAACAAAAATTAGAGGAATGTGCCCAAGGCGGTATAAAAATTCTCTTCTCTGGCAAAGTCAACGCCCAGAGAATAGCCCGTAAAGTTAACCTCGTACTTTACGCGAAATCTCAGAATTAAGTATTGGTAATGAGGAATAAAAATTCAAAAACCTAGTAATTGAAGGTGATAATTTACTGGCTATGGCTACCCTCTACCAATATCACGGCAAAATTGACCTAATTATTGCTGACCCTCCTTATAATACTGGCAAAGATTTTCGTTATAATGACAAATGAGAGGAAAAGTCAGTCGAAAAAATTGATAAAAATGGTTGAACTCTATGGAAAAGAAGGACTAATGATGGAGACTTATCAATCATTTATCGAGAAAATTTGAAAGAAATTGTTGAGATAATGCTAAGGACATAAGAAGTGATAAAGAGCGGTAAAATAAATTATAACGGTAAAAAAATAAATAAGGTTTGCCAATTTCAAAAAAAAAGAAGTAAATTCATGGAAAGAAAAAATAAAGAAAATAACTGACCCGCTACTCTCTATGTCGAAGGTCAAGACCAATTTCGTGGTTGATTCAACTCTTCACTGATTACTTCGGTTATCTTAACCAATCAAGCTCCCTATCAACAAGTTCTTTCGCACGGCTTTGTAGTTGATGAAAAAGGACATAAAATGTCAAAATCTTTGGGCAATGTAATTGATCCCGAGGACATTATAAAACAATTCGGCGCCGATATTCTTCGTTTATGAGCAATAAGTTCCGATTTTACCAAAGAAGTAAAAGTTAGCATCCCTATTTTAGAGAATTTACGAGAAAGTTATCAAAAAATCCGGAATACTTTACGCTTTTTGCTTAGCAATTTAGTAAACATACCATCAGAAATAAAAAGTGAAAAAGATTTAGAGCAGGAATTAGACTTGGTGGACTATTATATTCTTCATAAATTAGAAAAATTAATAGCAGAAAGCAAAAAAAATTACAGCGAATACAATTTTAATCCTGTTTATACTTCTTTATTAAATTTCTGTATTAATGATTTAAGTTCTTTTTATTTTGAAATTAGTAAAGATAGTTTATATTGTGATAGACTTTCTTCTCGTCGTCGGCGGCAAATTATTACTACTCTTTATTACTTATTAACTGGCTTATTAAAGATTATTTCTCCCATTTTGCCTTATCTATCCGAAGAAGTTTATCAAAATATCCCTTTCCGCTTTGGTTTTGCAAGCCAAGAAAGTATTCATTTAGCAAATTATTCTCCAATTTTGTCTCTTTCATCTGATAGTGAAAAGCGAGCAGAATTAATCACTGATTTCTTTCTCCCACTTCGCCGAGATGTTTACCAAGTCTTAGAACAGGCCCGCCAAGAGAAAGTTATTAATACTAATTCGCAGGCCCATTTAGTAATCTGCTTAAAGCAAAAAAAGAAATGAAATTATTCCGAAATAAATTTAAAGGAATTATTATTGGTAGCGGGAGTTGAAATTAAAGAAACAAAAGAAGACGATGCATGAGAGGGCAGTTTTTGTTCAGTAAAGGTTGAAAAAACTAGTAAAGAAAAATGTTTGAGATGTTGAAATTACCGAGATTTAGAAAAAGATGTTTGCCAGCGTTGCCAAAAAGTTCTAACTACTTATGTTTAAGAAAAAGGATAACATTAGATAATAAAAATACTTAATAGAACCTGCGCTCGTAGTTCAGTGGACAGAATATTTGACTTCGGATCAAAGGGTCGGGGGTTCAAATCCTCCCGAGCGCGCCATTTTTAAACAACATTTTGGAAAAAAGTAGTTTCTTGTGTCAAACGTCAACTAAAGACCCAATAAACCCCAAAACTCTTTCTCTTGGTAATGAATTTAACTTTAAAATATTAAATTATGTTTGGCTGACTAAAAAAATTTTTGGAATGACCACCAGAAGGGATTAGCAATATTAGTAAGTTAGGGAGTTATGTTAAAAAGTATTGGTGAAAATTATTAATCTTTATAATCGTCCTCATTATTGTTATTTGAGTAATAGTAAAAATATTAAAAATGATTTTTTCTTTGATAAGAGGTAAATAAATTTGAAAGTTGGTTTTTTATGCACTTGGACTAATTTCTTTTTCTTGATTTAATCTATTTAGATTTTTATATAATTGCTTTTTCTTACGAGCAGCCTTATTTTTGTGAATTACTTTTTTATTCTGGGCTTTGTCTAATATTTTTTGCGTTTCTGAGACCATTTTTTTTAGTTCTTTTTCATCAGAATTTTTCTCTTGTAAATACACTTCAATTTTTTTAAATTGGTTTTTTATTAATGTCTTATATTTTCGGTTTCTGGCGTGCCTTTCTTGATTTTTTTTTCCTTCTTTGATTAGCATTAGTATTGATAATTATATTTTTTATTAGTTTTTAGTTTAGGTAACTTACGATTTATGTAAAATTAGTCAATATGGAAATATACATGAAAGTGGAAATACCTAAGGGTAGTTCTAATAAAATTAATAAGTACTTTTCTCAAAAACTAATCTATAACATATTTTTATCTATATATTATTATATTTTATACATTTTTTCTAAGGGTCATGACAATTTAATATAATAGTATATAATTTTAACAATAGTGTAAAATATTAATTATATGCCCGCGATTAAACAACCATTGACTGTTTCTTGCTTTCGTTGCCAAAAAGATCTCATTGTTAAGTTTGTTCCTCCTCATAAAGAGTATAGTAAAAAAAATAATTGAGAATACTGAACAGAAGAAGAAAAGAATAGAAATAAATACATCTGTAATAAGTGCTTGAAAAAATTATATAAAAAACACAAGTGAGTTTTTTTGAATGAAGTTAAAAATCTTAGTAAACGCCAAATGTTTAGAAACTACATTCAAGATAGGGTTATTTAATTTTGTTATTTATACTATTATATTAAAAGATTATAAAAATTATTAAAATATATATATGTATAACTTAAACAAATTAGAATTAGATGAATATAAGAATTGACTGATTAAAAGAAATTTATCTGAAAAAACTGTTTTAACTCGTAGTTGATGTCTAAGGACATATGGAGAAAGAGAAGTAAAAACTGATGAAATTGTTAAATTTTTTAAAGAAAAGTTGACTAAGTATGGCCCGCATTCTTTACAATCTTTTCGTAAAGCGTTAACTTCCTATACCAAATTTAAAAAGATAAATATTGAATGAGAACTGATTACTAGATTAATTCCTACGGTTCAGCAAAAGTTCTTTACAACTATTGATGAAGATGAATTAGAACAATTGAAACAAAGTGTAACCAAAACTAAATTAGTCACTAATCAACGAAATAGCCTAATATTAGATTTCTTGTTCTATACCGGAATAAGAGTTGGCGAACTAGTTAATATTCGACATTGTGATTATCAAAATAATAGTTTAAAAATTTTTGGTAAAGGAAATAAAATTAGGTATATTCCCATTCCTGATTTTTTAGCAAAGAATTTTAATGGTAGTTCGGATTATTTATTTAGGACTTGAAAAGGTAAGGCGATGAGCGAAAAAGCGGTTTGAAAAATGATATCTCAAAAATCCAAGAGAATTGGCTTTGATAAATGTATTACTCCCCATACTTTTAGAAGAAGTTTTGCAACTTTACTAAATAGTAGAAAATGTAATTTGACCGCTATCCAAAAATTTTTAGGTCATAGTAATTTTCAGACTACTTCTAACTATATTCATAATTCCTATGAAGAACTTCGACAAGAGTATAGCAAATTATGAATTTCTCCCCCCCCCCCCCCCCACAATATCCCTTATCCAGCAATTTCTTTAAAAAATAAATAATACAAAAGAATTATCTAAAATAAAAACTGAAAGCAAGAATAAAGAAAATGAATAAAGAAAATAAGACAATAACCAGTCTTTACGACAAATATAAAAACACCCCCAAAAAACTAAAAATAATCTGTGATTGGGATGAAGTAATTCAAGCCCATGAGCCTCATGCTTTGTGGTTAACTCATGCTTCAGAAGATGAAAAATTGACTTATAATGATTTTCGCGATTACTTTAAAATGTTTTGGGAAAATGATGTAATGATTGAATATTCCCCTTACGGTTCCAAAATGTCCTCTAAAGCTTCTGATCCAAGAGTAAAAAATGTAGACTTGGAGCAACAACAAGAAATCAAAAACTCCCCTAACTTCTACCACCAAGCCCCCTTTTTAACTATTGCGGAGGATTTACTGAAACTAATAAAGGAAGATAAAATAGAGAAGTTAATATTTTTAAGTGCTTACGATAAGAGGAAATTTCATGGAGGAGATATGAGAAAGGAGAATATTTTTAGGGAAACCTTTGGCAAGTTAGCCCATTTCAACAAGCCTCCGTTTATGGGTCTCACTTTAATCCCTTTTGACAGCGAAACCCAAGGAAGAACCAAAGCCGAATGAATTAAAGAAAATGCTTCTGATTTTGATATTGTAATTGATGATAATCCGAATATTTGTAATAGTTTGGTAGCAAAGTGATTTTGTAAGGAATGTATTAATAAGCAAAACAAATGATTTGAGGAAAATAAAGGAAAATTTGCTTTCTTTGTGCCTTGTAAAAATTGTGTTCCAATGAGAACAGTTATCTCTCCTTACTATCCAGCCACAGCTAAAATAGCCACAGGCAAACAACAAGGATATTATGAAGATGTTTTATTAGTTAAAAATGAAGTAAGCAACTTAAAAAAAGAGGATTTTAGTGAGTAAAAATGGTTGAAGAAAGCCGTTGCCTAGATTGCCAAATTTTAATAAATAGTGGGGATGTTTATTATTCTGCTACTATGCTCTGCAATAGTTATTATCTAAAAAATAAAAAGAAAACTAATCATTTTTTCTACATTCTTGACAACTCTGTCCGGTCAGTCAAGTTTTGTTTTCCTCATCAAATCTAACTATTTCTTTGACTGATTTTCTTTTTTTACATTGCGGACATTTAATTTTAAAAAGGTAAAGGATTAGTAGAATAGTGGTTAAAATTCCTGCTATTACTCCTAAGATTAAGAAGGCTAGATTTCATTTTAGGTTCATTTGTCGTGAAATTATATTAACTAATTTTTTAGAATTTGTTGGAGTTCTGTTGAGCTGTTTTAACAAAATATTTTTTTGACTTCGCCTCTCACGCACTTCCTTCTATTTCGAAGCAGCAAAAAAAAAAGTAAAGGTAAAGATCGCTTTACACCGCTAAAAGTAAACTTTAAAATATAAAACAGGAAGTTTCCTGTTTAATTTTAATCTTCTTTACCATAAAGCACCCTATCCTCCCTTTTCGGCCTCGAAAAGGAAAAGCGACGGCGACCCCCCGCTACCTTTAAAATAATTAATATGCTACATCTACAAATAACTTATAAGGACGGAGAAACCCGAAATATTACTAATGATTTGAATTACGACCAATTTAGAGCGTTAGTAGAACATGTTGAGAAAGGAAACGGAAAAATGGCTGAATTTAAGGAAATAAAAATAACTAGAAAATAACGTGGAACAGTGTTTTAAGTGCAAATCATCATTTCCTCCCCACGAACTTATTAAAAAAAAGAGTGGAAAAAGTTTTTGCCAAGTTTGCGTTTTATACAGTTTTTATAAGTGTGAACATTGCGGAGAAAAATTTTTGCTGAATAATTTTGCTACTGATTACAAGCAGGCTAAATCTTTGGCTTGAAAGGCTAAATTGAAGCATGTAAATAGTTATCATGCTTAAAATCCTTTCTATTGACCCCTCGGGAACAGGAACTACCGGAATATGCTTAATTTGAGGCTCAACAAAGTTATTTTTCCAATTTACCAGTAAAATATGGCAAGAACACTATGAATATATCCTTGACTTAATTCAGAAAGAAAAACCTAACATTGTCTTAATAGAAACAGCCTATTACGAGGCAAATGGCAGGAACAAAGACATAATGGATTTAGAAAAATTAGTGGGAGCCTTGGAATGCTTAAAATTTCACACCAAAAGCCAAATAATTATGAGGCAAAACAAACTTACTAAGGATTTTGCTGAAACGTTAATGAAAGAAGAAGAAACTATTCCTAATCTGTTCTATTTTGAAAAAAAATGAATATATTATGAAGAGCAAGAAGAAATTAAAGAAAGAGAGAGAAGAGCAAAAACAAAAACTTCAAGAATGGATCAAGGAAATGGGAGGGAAAATTCAGGAGAAGACAAAGCCAAAACCCAAATCCGAGGAATCCAAGAACTCTCCCAGCACCAAGTTGATGCCCTTATCATCTGGCATCTTTACTCAAAATCTTATCCGTATCTTGGAGACAGCCCACGAATGTCAGGAAATAGCAGTTATTGGAACTAGAAGCGAAGGAAAAACTTGAATCACCGCTCACCATATTCTACCAATAGTTCATAAAAATAAAAAAGAACAATACCTCTGAATAAGAAGATATCCCGATGACTCTCGTCACTCTCTATTAGATTACTTTAAAACAAGAGTAAGCGAATATTGTGAATGAAATAACATATCAGTAAAAGAACAAGAAAGATTATGAGAAGTAATTGTCCGTGGCACTTTTTGTGAAAAAAATAACAGCATTATTTTCGCAGAACTAGAACATTGAAATAAAGCGCGAGGAGGTTTTTCTAAAAATCCAACTCTAATCGTTTTTGATGAAGCAATTCCTCGCATGCTAGACTGAAAGAGTGGTTACTTAACCAATGAACCTACTAAATTTAGCGATTTATGAAAAAGCATGTGAAGAAACAAGGAATTTCCTAAGCCAACTATTCTACATCTTTCTAATGCCTATGACCGGACTTACCACCGCTTAGCGGATTGAGATGATGAAATAGATGAGATTGCCGACCAAGAATTATGAAAAAAAGGTGATTATGAAGATTGGTATTGAGAAAAAGAAAAAGAAGTATTTTGTGAAGATACTCAAAAAATGGTCAAAAAAAGATTAGTTTTTTTCCGAAAAAAGGGCGATCAAGAAGGCTGACCAGTTTTTTTTACTAAAAAAGGCGACTTTAATGTTCAAAAAGTAGAACCAAAAGACCTTATTCCTTTGGAAATGTATAATAATAAATATTTACTGTCACGATCCAAAAATAGAACTTATACTCTTCACTTAGACTATTCAGAAAATTTTCCTAATAAAAAAAAGATGGTTGACTATCATTTTGATTCAAAAACTTTTTTCTTAACTCCCCCTAGTCCTTGAAAAGAGTTATTAGAACCTAAATTATCTAAATCCAAAAAAAATGAATGAACAGACTGAATTAATACTAAAGTCCTTTTTTTTAATAACTTTGAAATAAGGAATGAAATAATTGAACTGCTTTCTTAAAAATAGTTATATGATATTAACTTTAAATATTGACTTAAAGAAATTAACTGACAAGCAAAAGAAGTTGTTAGATGAATTACTTTACCAAAAAATTTTACCTGTTAAAAATAAGCATAAAGGAGGAGATGCTGCCGTTGAATTAGACCCTTACGAGAAATGAGATGACTTACCACCTCTTCTAAGAAATAAGGCTAGGTGAACAGGAATAAATTAATTCATGTCTATTAATAAAACTCAGAAAAAACTAGAAGAACTCATTATTCCTTACTTAAAAAAAAAGAGTGATTGAGAAGATACTTTGGAAAAAAAGGTCTGAGAAATCTTAAATTCCAAAACACCCATTTATACTTTGGTTGGTGAAGTAAAGGGGCATATCCAGTTAAAAAACAAAGAAGAAAAGGATTATTTAATTCTCTGATTAAAGGAAGGAGAGGAAAAAATTCATGTTTATGAGGACAAATTATTGTATCCCGAAAAATGAAAAGAGATTTTGGATAGTAAATATCATGGGCGAGTTGTTTTTTTGGACTTTCAAAAACTATACAAGTTAAAGATTTTAAAAGATATTAGATATGAAGGCAAATAATATCGCAACATTTTCTCCTTACAAAATTGTTAATTATGTTGGTGGTTTGCTGGTTTTCTAAATGAGCTACTAACCAAAATATACCAAAAAAGTAAGAAGTTAGAAAGAAAATGTTAGAAGTAAAAATTAATTAAATGACAAAAACTAAAAAAACGCTAACTATTTTACCTACTAACCAATTATTACAACAAGTTTGAGATTACATTTTGACCCGATCGAACAAAAAAGGAGAATTTAAGAAGTCTTCCCATGAAAGTCTTTTTTTACTCTGCTGAAAAGTAGGATTAAGAATTAGTGAGGCGATTGGTTTTGACTTATCATTGGAGCATCAACAGCCAGAATATAAAAATTTGTATCTTCTACGCGGCAAAAGGAATAAAGAAAGATGAGTATTTATCAGTCCTGAAATAGTTAAAGAACTCAAAAAAAGAAATTGACAACCTAATCAAACTAACCGCATTAGTTTCTTTGATTTTTTAGGGAAAGTTAAGGAAGAAATGAATTTACCTGCTAATGTTGAATTACCTCCGCATACTCTAAGACGCTGTTTTGCTACTCACCAAGCCATTAGTGGCATGCCTCTGCCCATTTTACAGAAAGTTTTGGGACATAGTAAGGTTTCTACTACTGCCCTTTATATTAAAGATAGTGATTTAAGTAATTTAGTGAAATTTAGACCAGTTTAGATAAAAAAAATAACCAATCTATAAACCTTTCTCTCAATCTTCAGCATCCCCTATTTCATCCTCGCCTTCAGGAGTGTCTTCTGGATTATCTTCATCCTCTCAAGCATCAGGTTCTGGGTCTTCTGGCTCTTCCTCAGGCTCTCCTTCAGGTTCTGGGTCTTCTGGCTCTTCCTCGGGTTCTACTTGAAGTTCAGTGCCGTCAATAAGTGCTTCGGTTGGTTCAGGAATAGCCTCAGGAGGATTAATTTCAGGTTCCATATTTGGTTCACTAGCTTCAGGGGCAAGTCCTCCTCCATTAGGAACTCAGGCGGAAGGCGGCAATCCTCATCCATCTGGAAATCCTCCCGAGAGAGTTCTTTTTACTACTTTTTTCTCTCCCCCTATTCTTATATTTCCCTGAATAGGATCTATTATTAGAGTGCAGTTATCTGGCACTTTCACATAATTTTCACTGCTGGCATTACTATCAAAATAAGTATAAAGATCTCCTCCTTTCTGTATCGGTAAATGATGAACCTTGCTCTTATCAAGTCCACATCCTCAGCAAACCTGCATTTTTCCATCGGAAAATTTTGTGTTTCCAATTTCGTTCATATCCCCTTTTGGTGCTGGTCCGTTGTGATGGCTTGAAAATTGATCTACACACATCGCTTTAAACAAGTCGGCATTCGGCACTCGAAAATAGGTAGTATATCCCGCTATCGCTTTGCTTGGGTCGAAAGTATCCAAAATTTCCTCTCCTCCACCCTCAATTTCCAAAGTATCGTCATTACCACTAGAATTACTTCCTAAACTCTCAATTTTGCTTCTCGGTAATTTAGTTTGATATCATCCTATCGGATTATTTTTAGGACCTACTAATGAAGTATTTTCTGAGCCAATTAGTTGCACTCCAATTTGCAAATTATCTCTAAATCATTGCTTACTTTCTTCACTTTCGATATAACTATGCATGTTTAAGGTGTGAAAATGAAATTTTACAAACCCCTTTTCTTCAAAATAGGCTCCAAAATCAGCCACATTGAAATAAGTATTAGTTTCTCCTCCTTTTTTAATAGTTTTGTTAGCCCAATAACGATTAATTACTTCTTTGTCATGTTCTAAAACTATTTTGATTGGGGTATACCCACTTCTCATAAATTTGTGTTGGAATTCATCAATAGTAAATTCTTGGCGAACACTTTCGCTATAATTCAATATTCTTTCTTTAATTCCCCCAGCTGCCGCACCCATTCCGCCGGCTACTGCTCCTTTTATTGCCCCTGCTTTTGCTGCTGCTCCGACAGTCATTGTTGCTTTAGCAGCAAAAGCAGTCCCCACTCCTGCCGTAGCTGCTCCAATTGCTGCGGCAGCGGCTGTTGTAATGATAGTGTTAAGAATAACATTACTGTGATTTTCTGCTCCTACTTTTATGAAAATACTTTCATGAACTTCGGCAATGGCTTCTGAACCATGATAAAAAGTTACTACTGTTCCCGCTGGATTAGAACTTTCTCTGATTTTTAGGTCTCTAATGTTATAGTGATTTCCTTTTAAAATTTGCTTATCTCGTCATTTGATAGAGGCTTCGATATGGTTAGCACGACAATGATGAATGTCTTCGGGATAGTGTTCTTTTAGTCAATTTTGTAATTCTATTGCTTTTTTTCCATGTTTAATTCCGCCAGAACTATTAATATTAACATCCGTCCAAGCTTCTATATTGTTAACATCCTTTTTACCAATTCTTCATCGTCCTTCTTTTTCATATTCTTTACTAACCAAAGAAAACAAGTGTTCTTGTTTCCTATTTTTCTCAATTTTGTCAAATATTTTACTTACATTATCAAAGTTTCATGGTGTTATTTGACTTCAATCTCCCAATTTAATTCAAGGAAAATCAAGGTTTGCATTTTGTTGTCCTCCCACTGTTCCTTTTATTCCAAAAAAACTACTACTTCTTCCTCCCCAAGCACTAAACAAATTTCATTTCAACTCATAGTTTGTTGCTGTAAAGACAGTTTTTTCCCTTACTTCCTCCTGAGTAAAATCAGGACAGGCACAAACTTCATAAAGAGGTTTTGGAAGATTATGAATTATTCCGTTAGCATTGGCTCTGAGACAAAAAGGATAATCATTTCAATAATAACTATAATTAGCAGTAACTTCTAACCTATCTCATTCCATTTGCTTATAATCGGCTACTTCATATCAAATTCCATTATAATTGAAAAGAAAATTGTTAAGTTTAATGATTATATTGTCAGGAATTCGGTAATTGAAGGTAATTTTGTTTCGAGTTAAGCCTTCACCGCAAATAAAAATATCGTGTTTTTCTAATAATTTTTCTCTTTCTTGTCAATCAGAAAAAATTTCATCCTTAACCCTTCAAGCATCCGGGTCTTTTTCTATTCATTTTAAATAAGTGTATTTGTAATTTTGGAAAAAAATATTAGGTTTTTCTTTCTGAATTAAGCCACTAGAATTCTCTAAAAGTCAATTCATTCAAGCTTTTTTTTGTGGGTCAATTTCCTCAGGACAAATGCTATAAGTTTTTGTGTTATCAATATATTCCTTATCTAATTTCTTTCATTCTTCTTCCAGTTCATTTATTCTCTCTAATTTCTTAATTTCTAAAAATCTTTTTAATTCTTCCTCCAAATTTTTCTTCTTTTTTAGTAAATCCTCTTCGGGTTTTTCAAACCTTGCCAGTTTCTCTTTTATTACTTTTTTTAATTCTTTTAACTCGGCTAATTTACTTTTTACTTCCTCATTTTTTATCTCTTCTTTGGGTTTTTTCTTCTCTTCAGGCTTTTCGGTCTCGGTCGGTTTTTTTGAGTTTTTTTTAAGTTCCTCTTTTAACTTCTTTATTTCTCTTAATTTTTCGTTTAGTTTACTAAATAATTCTTTTTCTATTCTATCTTTTTTCCCAACCCCATCAATTGCTTCTTTTAGTTCTTCGAACAGTTTTTTTAAAAAGTCTTTATTGGTTTGGGAGGTTTCCTGGTATTTTTTTTTCTGTTCTTCAACTAAACTTTGGTAATGCTTAAAAACTGTGCCAAAATCATGTCTTTTTAGCCAAAGTCTATTGTGTCAAATCCTTCCTTTTTCAAAAGTTTTTTTGTATTTTTCTTCTTCTCTCGGAATTACAAAGAATATTTGGCTTTTCATTTATTAACTTAATTTTTGTAAAATTTAGTAATGATTAAATATATCAAAGGCAATACTATCGAACTAGAAAAAAATTCTTCAGAACTGCCTAAATGAAAAGAATTAGCCCAAATCTTACCTCAAACTTGAAAACAATGTGGGGAAAACCGCGAGAAATGAATAACACTTTCGGGGAGTGAAGGCAGAACTTATGAATGTTTTCTTTATGAAGTAGAAAAAACCATTAAAAATTTAGGGGGTTAATTTCTTCTTCTTAATCACTAAATTAAATTCTTGGACTGTGTGACAATTGGGGCAAACTAAATTCCCTACTCCTTTTTTTGTTTTATAATATCTTTCTAAGGATTTGCCAGCAAGGTATTTCTTTCTTCCTGGTCTTTGATTATATTCTCTAAAATAAACGGCAGAGTTAGTCATATTGAATTATTTTTAGTCTCTATTTGTATAGAAAAAAAACTTATACAATTAAAAATAATATATATACGATGTTTGGATGAAAAAGAAAGTTGGATGTTGAATATGAATTGTAAATAAAAGAAAGAATAAAGTGGAAAGTGGTTCAATTACTATTAAAGATATTATTGGTTGAATAGTTGCTATAGTAATCAGTTTAATAGGTAGTTTAGTTCCCTTATTAATCAAAATAAAAAAATTAGAAGAAATGTTATACAAAGAAATAATAGCTCGAAAAGACGAAATAATAGCTCGAAAAGATTTAGAAAACAAAGAATTAAAAAAAGAAAATGAGGAGTTGAAAAAAAAGTTAGAGGAAAATATTAAAAAAAAGTAAAAAATATGAGTAAAAACATTAAAGCGGTATTCGAAAAATATTTAGACCAAGGCAGTAATATAAAAGGAAGGGAAAAATTAACCTTGGATAATTGATACGAATTGGAAGAATCTGCTTATGAGGCAAAAAAATTAAGTGGAGATAATCACGAGGAATGAAGAAAAATTACTGGCAAAGGAAGAGGATTTGATTGTCTAATGGGCGAAGTGGAAGGATTTATTAAACAATTAGGAGGCAAATTATATAAAGATAGAAAGAATGATAATAATGATGACCAAGAGAAAGAGATGAAAATAACAAGTTGTAAAGATTGTAATAAGCAATTAAATAAAAAAAGTTTTTACAGTATTAATATCGGTGATGAAACTGAGAGAAAGTGAAGAAAGAGTTATTTTAATTTATGCTTTGATTGTTGAGGTAAGAAAAAAGAAAGTTATAAATCATTGTTGGGAGAGTGAAATGAAGATAAAGATGAATGAGATAACCGAAAAATAGAAATTAAAAAAATAGAACTGCATGGAGATGTAATTTCTTTTGGCGGACTACTTAGTTGTCCAACTTGTAAAAAGTGAACTGATGAATATGAAGAGGAAAGCAAAGACGGAATTTTTTGTTCTCTTAAATGCGAACAAAATAAAGATAAAAGAAATGATAATAATAATAGTAGTAGAGAGAGAGAGAGAGAGAGAGAGAGAGAGAGCAAAAATGGCACACCAATTCCTTTGCCAACTTTAACTCAACTTCAACAATATTTCATTGTTAATGACATCCATTCTATCACCAACCAAAACGGAAACTTAATAATCACCTTTAACCAAAATCAAACTAATCCAAATAGTCCTCCTCCTCCTCCTCCTCAAACTATTACTGAGGAAGAATTATCAGAAACTTCCACTTTAATGGAACCAGAGCAAAAAACGATGTGGAAGAAATTCAAAGAATGATTAAAGAAAAAAGGAAAGAATAAAATTGATAAGCAAGAATTAGAGCAGGAAATTAATAAACTTAAAACTCAAACCGAACAAAATCCTAATGAAACTAAAATTTGACCTTGAATAGTGGGAGGAATAGGAATAATAACCGTGGTAGGAATAGTTATTGCTTTAATTAGAAATAAAAAGAAAAAACATAAATAGTTATAGTATGGGACATATAGATTAGAGAAGGTGTTATATCACTTATTCTTTTTGTTTTACTTGTTATTGTTTTTATCTCTTGAATTCGTAAAGTAATTAAATTATCTAAAAATGAAGATAAGAGTGGTATGTGAATAGTCCTGCTTTGCGGGCTGTTTCTTACGCCTTTTATTGGCTGACTTGTGGGTTCGGCTTACAAAGAAGAACCAAAAAAAAATAAAAATGAAGAATTTTGGTGTGGTATTTGTCAGGCTAAATACAGAGAAGAATTTTTGGGTTGTGAAACTCTCAAAGAGGGGAAAATTTGCCGTTATTGTTTAGAGAAAAAAAATAGTGAAAGGTAATTATCTACTTATTTTTCAGAGAGAAAATAAGTTGTGACAAAAAAGCGAAGAAATTTTACTCAAATATTACCTTATTTTTCATTATATTATCATAATTATCATTATATTCTACTTGAAATTCTATTTTCTCTTCATTGCCCAATTCTCCTCAACCAGAATAATTTAACTTAATCTTGTTTTCATGGCTTTTATCTAAATAAATCGCTTGAACTTTTCAGTCATAAGTTATCCTTTTCAGTTTCACAAAACCTTTTAAATTTATTATTTGATTTTCTCAAATCATAGCAAAATTTATCTCCTCTAAACTTTTTTTACTTCCTCCAAAGCGAATTTTTTCGAAAAGAAGTTCATCATTTCCAAAAAGGTTTAAAGATTTGAGTTTTTTATTATTACTTAAATCCAAATCTTCAAAATGGTTATTGCTAATGTCTAATCTTTCTAACTCTGGATAACGGATGAAGTCAAAAGTAAATAAAACTTGAAATGATAAGTCTAAAATTCTTATTTGTTCTCTTTCTTTCTTTTCGTCATGCGGAGTTGCTCCCGGTCAATCAGGAACATCAGTAAATACATTATGAATAATGCCATCTAATCCCTTTTCCTCAGTTTTACATCTCACCAAAGTTATTTTTTGTCCTCTTTCATAAGTTAGGACGAAAGAAGTTTCATTTTTTTCTACTTTGGTTGGATTATTGAAATCAATAATAGGATTATTCATTAAAACATAAGCCCTCAATCCCAAAAATAAATTGTTAATATTGGCTAAACTTTGTCTAACTCCCCACTCTTCGGTAATCATATATTTACAAAACTCATTAGTAATTTTGTTAGCATATCTTTTAGTTTCATTTTCATCATTTAAAACTTTATTTACATTCTTTTTTATCAATTTTACTCTCCCTTGATAATTTAACTCTTTAACTTGAATCACTGAACTACGAGAAATTAAAAAGGGGTCAATTTTTTCTAAATGATTATCCGCAATAATGAAAACCACTTGGCTTAAATCCAACTTTCATTTTAACCAGTCATCTTCAAAAGAATAAGCATTTTGGTCGGGGTCAGTCATGGTTCCAATAATGTCGGTTATAGCTTTTCCTTTTGCTCTGGTTAACTCGTCAATTAGAACTATTGGTTGACTACTTCCCTTGGTTAACATTTCCTTTAATAATTTTCCTTGTTCGGCTCCCCCATAAGCAATCTCGCGACCTTTCAAATAAGTTGGTTCATCTACCCCATTCATTGGAATACTAATATATGCTCTTTTGGATGCTCTTGCAGTCAATTTAGCAATCTGACTTTTACCAGTTCCAGGATGTCCTACTAAAATAAATGATAAAGGTCTAAATGGAATTGAAGTAGGGTTTAATAAATTGACAAAGTAATTACCGACAATATTTTTATATTCCTCAAATCCTTCTATTTCTTCCAAAGTTTTAAAAAAGAAATCAATAGTAGGTCTTTCGTAAGTCTTTTCATAAATTTTGATAAGTTTTTCGCAGGCTTCTATTCTTTCTTCATGTTTTAGTTTACTTTGCCCTTGCTTTTTACTTACTTCTTTTTGTAATCTTCCTAAAAATCGGTAAGTTCCTTCTAAATATCAAGTTGGTTTAACATCTTTGCCATCTTCTTTCATTTTATCATACTCTTCTTCACTGATATCTCGCAAAGCCTCATCATCCAAAGGTTTTCCAGTTTTCGGATCAATTTCTATTTCTTCTTCTGACCTTTTACTTTTTCATTTATAATCCTTAACTTCTTCATCTCAACTAAATTTTCCTTCTTCGAATGGATAGATTTTACAAAAAAAAGGATGAAATTCTTGGACTATCTCGATTACATCAATTCCGGCTTGAGAAAAAGAATTAAGTAAACGAGGAATTCAATTTTTTTCTATCGGAAGTTGTTTACTAAAAGTAGTTTGATTAATTTGTCTTCGCACTCCATCCTGAACCATAAATTGTTGTGGTTTGGTAGTTCTTTCGTTAGTTTTAGAGCCATATTGTAGTCCGTGATGTTGAATTTCACCACTTTTGCTAATATTTTGAGCGGGAAAAGTATTTTTACGATAAAAAGGGGCTAAATCATCTCTGCTGGTTTCTTGTAATTTTTCATAATTCTTGGCTGGGAGTTTCAATTTCTCGTAAATGTTTTTATAAAGAAGTTGATTTTGGGATAAACGAATTGCTTTGGCTCTAATCAAAGTCATTATTTTATCCACACTACTTTCCTCATCATCCTCAAATTCATCATTTCCTCAATAATTATAAACAGAATTAAGAACTAGCATATGAATGGTTCTACTTCCCAAAGTTTTTGTAAAGGTTTCTCCGATAATCTCAAGGTAATTTTGTCTATACCCCGACCACATATGAGTTCAGGTAGGAAAAACTTGTTTAAGAGTTGCCATTATTTAACCTTGTGGGGGACATCTTCAACTTCTTCTTTGCCAAAATAAAGCATTTCCTCTTGGTGATGATGTTCTTCTTCAGCATGCTCTCATTTTTTCTTTAAAGCGATTTGCTTTGCTTCCTCAAAAGTTTTATCGGAATAATTTAAAGAAAATTTTTTACCACAAGCATTACATTTAAGATAAGTGTGTTTGGCGTTAAGATAAGGATGACGCGTATCAGTATTAGGGTTTTCTATCTTCTCTTCTCCTTTAATTTTTTTAGTTTCAACTTCTTTTAAATCAATTTTGTATACCATATAATTATTTTTCTTCTCTCTATATTTATAAAGAAATTCTTTTTTTTCAATCGTAAGCAGGAGTAGTATTAAACCATCATTCTCAATATTTTTCTCAATTAAAAAAACTTTCTGGGGTTAGAAAGGGACAGGGGAATTCGCACTTATAAGTGTTGCAGATACGGCAGGTTCAAGGATAAGCAGGAACGATGACGGCCGAACTTCTTCTTAAATTAGGCCAGTATATTCTTTTATTCATTATTACTAAATTTTACTTTCTTTCTTCCTCTTAAAATGTTTTCTCACTTCTCGGTCGGAACAGTCGGAACAATAATTTTACTTATTCTATACTTTTAGGAAGTATTTTATATACTTTCTATGCTATTAGACAATAGGGAAGGGTAAATATAAGAAAAGTAAAGGTCTTTTGCTTGGTTTTTTCTCTTTACTTATAATTTATAATAGTTGTTTTTATTTATATAAAACAATAACAAAATATAAGGAAAAGAATATAAAAAGGGCAGTCAATTATATTAAAAAGTCTTCAATATTAATATCCGACCAAATATTAATCACTTTATTACCTTTTTCTTTTTCCTCTCATTCAATTTCAATCTCTTTTCAATTATCTCTATTCTTTTTTAAGTCAGTTCAACCGGTTTTTACACTACCTTCTCAGCAAAAGTAAGCATTATTTTTTCCTGGGTTATTCTCATCAAAGATAATAAAATAATCCTGTCCTTTGCTATCTTGTCGCTCAATTACTTTAAAATTAGTCAGTTTTTTTGTTTTCATTCCAAATTCCATTATTAATAAATTTTAAAATTAACTTATATATGACTGAACAACTATCAGAACTACAAATTGAATGTCAGATTTGAAAA